CAAAATGTATGCTGCTACATATTTATTGTAAACAAAAACATCCCAATAAGTGTATATTGATTAGTTTGCGCCTACAGACTATGGGACATATACTGGATTTTTAACATTTATTTTTTATACTAGTAATGGCGGCGATCAGCGACGTATAGTGGGACTGTGATATTGCGGTGGACATTTTTACATTCACTTTGTGGGAACTAGTGAGACTAATACTGTGATCAGTGCTAGAAATTTGCACTGATCACTGTACTAATGACACTGGTTGGTAAGGGGTTAACCTCTAGGAGTCTAAGGCAATCAAAGGGTTAAATGTGTGCCTAGCTTTGTGCTTGGTGTACACTAGGTGGTGCTTGTACTAGGAGAAGTGAAGGATCCTGTTCCCAGCTTTGCAGGGACATACGATCCTTCACTTCCCCACCTGTCAGAACAGAGTTCTGCCTTATTCACATAGGCAGAGCTCTGTTCTTTCTCCTGCCCGACGATCTGCAGGTGCTGGTGAACATCCGTTCACCAGAATTTGCAGATCAGCTTCTGCTGTGAATGTTCACAGCAGAAGCGAGGCAGAACGTGCGCGCGCCCCCTATGGCGGAAGTCACGTGTGTGTGTGTGTGTATATATATATATATATATATATATATATATATATATGATTTTGCACAGGAGGGCCTCCCTGTAGCATTAAAGCTGCTATAGGGCAGTCTTCAAGTGGTTAAAGGTATAGTCCACCTTTTGGAGCCATGTTTTATGTTGCATGCGTATTAAGGATTCATGTACACATCCATTCCTGACCGCACACAACCCATATCAGTGTATTTCTGCAGTGGGTGTGGCCATGTGTTTACAATTTCAAATAAATGAAAGGTTGAGAGACTTCACAGCCCTGACCAGTTCTCACTAAAGATCAACAGCTCAGGCATGTTTGGATCCCACCTGAGCTATCCTGCCAAGAAGCTGTTACTGCACAAAGCCAATCATAAGCGGCAGAGGCATTCCCCAACCCACAGCTGCACTTATACATGTCCCTTGCCTAACTGCAGGGTGGGGAAAGCCTCAGCCACTTGTGATTGGCTTTGTGCAGTGACAGCTTCCTGGTGGGATCAGACTGGGATCTAAACATGCCTGAGCTCATCCACTAAAGACACGTGTCAAAGACAAGGCCGCGGGCCGAATCTAGTTCTCCAGGCCATTCCATGTGGCCCTCGCACCTCTCCTGCAGCTGCAGCACCCTCCTCCTCTCTGCTCCATGTTGGGTCAGATGGTAGCAGAGAGGAGGACAGAACCCTTACAGATCCTGTGCCTCTGTGCAGCCGCAGCACTCTGTTCTCCTAGGATTGCCTCCTCATCCTTTAAAACCGAACACATAATACACAGGTTCTGAGGCTAATTGATTGCAGATAAGGCACTAAGTGAGTTTATTTACCACGTTAATCAGCCACAGAACCTGTGTAATTAATATGTGTTCAGTTTTAAAGGGATGAGATGGAAACCCTATCTCTGCCTCCCCTGGTCTCAGCATTCGGTGGACTCTGACAACTGACTACAGCCCTCCTCTGGTTTTCCTCCAGACCCTGCATTTTTTGTTTCCCGGTTTCTTCCCGGCAGCAGCATAAGTTAAGGGGAGTGTACTGTAGGGGAGGGTGGGGGGGCTCTTTACATCTGATGTAAGGGGCAGTGAAGTACCGTGGACATCTAGTCTTACAGAGACAACTGGCCCTTTGAGGGTAACCATAATCCCGATGTGGCCCATGATGAAATTGGGTTTGATCTAGCAGGTCAGAGACCACAGACGCCTCTAATCATATAGAAAGGAATAGCCCCATTGAGCCCCTGGAGCCCTGTACTGTGGCCCCAGCTGGTTTACCAGGTTTCAGTGGTCTCCCCGTCTACAAGCTTTGACGAACAGCAGCAGGAGGAGGCGGGTATGTCAGTGCTATAAGTAGCAGTACACTGGCACATGGGAGTGGGGGAATTGTATAGAGCCAGGTTCCCCTTGTCTCCTCATAAGGTTGTGACAGGAGGTGCTATGTTGTGTAAGGTATTTTTCACACAGGAGGTTGATCTGTGTTTTTTTTTCCCCCTACAAGCAGACATGGTGCCACTTGAAGCAGCTCACATTGCTACAGCCAGAATGGTTTGGCTTGTCGCAATTTCAACACTACATACATAATTTAAGAGGTGGCACCACCTGTCAAACTCTCCCATGTAAGTAAATGGGGCCGCCAAATGCTTGGCTTGCAGATGTGGCATATACCTGCAATGTAAAATTACCATTCACCAATGAAAAAAAATAAAAGTAAAAAAAAAAAAAAAAAAAAACGGTATCAGGAGGCAGAATGCCTGCTAACCTCTTTTCATCACCTTCTGAAAAATGATTTACTGCAGATTACTTTTAATAGAGGTGGTAAATGATACTATTAGCGTGAAAGGAGCCTAAGAGTGTCAATGCTGTGGCCTGTCGGGTGTCAGGAGCATCCTCACATGTGCCTGGGGATGAGTCTGGGCTATGAAAAGGCACATGGAGGTCAGCGCTGGGTGAAGGAGGCGACTCCATAAATTTAGGCCGCGAATGGGGCCATCCCTGTTTACAAGCGAGAACCCCAGCGGGGGTTCCTGGCAATTACCTGCAGGAGGCAGCCCAATCGAAAAGAATGGGAGACTGATAGCTCCACATCTAATTGTGGTCACTCACATGCAAACACTTATGGAACAATCACCTGCGAGTGACATGCCCTGGACATAAACTGACTGTGTCCAGGGCTCATCCTATGCAGGTGATCACTCCATTACTTATGAGCTGTGAGCCTCCCATTGCTTTCATTTGGGGTTGCCTCCTGCAGGGAACACCCACTGGGGTTCTCACATGCAATCAGTGACAATCCCATTCACAAGTGTGAATGGGGCCTTATTGCAATATGGGTGGGCAGTGCAACAGGAGGTGCTCCTCCTATATTTTCTTCTGCTCAAAATTGCACATGAGGTCTCTAAAGTTTTTTATATTTGAGCTTTAGCTAACCTGCCAAAATTGCAGATTTGCAACTCTGAAACCTTCTTAGGGCCCACTCACATTAGAGGTTGAATGTTAAAGTGCACATAATGCATGGTCACTGGTGTGGGCTGTGCACACATGCTGCGACATGTTGCAAAGTGCATGACATCATTTTTTTTTTAACTTTATTTAGGTTGTCATTCAACTCTATGCACAGCAGCGTGTTGTGGGTTGTAATTCATCACACTACCACAATGCAACAGTGTGAGTTAAGAATATGGAAATGACCAAGGATTCTCCAAGTTGCAGTTTGAGAAGATCGGGAGTATTTGTTATGAGTGGAGGAAGCTGCATTTTAGGTTTTCTTCCTGGATTTTGTACTCCAGGTCAGAGGGGATCTATGCCCATGAGACCGAGGGTTGAGGCAGCTACACAAGTCTGGGAGACTGAGAAGGCTGAGAAGATAGTTTAGTAAGCCCATGGGATGGAAGGAACCAAAGTCTCAGAGTGAAAGATCCCAAGGTGTTAGGAGAGTCCCTATCTAGAGGCCTGGAGTGGGCCCCTGCAGCAAGGTGCTTTAACAGAAGGCTGAGTGAGCTAAGAGCGCTGGGGAGCTGGATGAAGTAACCTAACGAGCAGTAGTGCTGCAGAAGAAAGCCAGGTGGCTTAGCATTTTCGGTTGTTTCCCCTTATGTTCATTGACAGTCAAAGCTCTTTTGATTCTTGACCATAGGGTTTGTAGCGCCACATACAGGAGTAGGGACTAGGCTGAAAAAGAACACAGCACCGCCTATGGGTAGTCCTAGCTGGTATAAACCCCTTCTCTGCTATAGGCAAGCCAGTTATTTCTGCCTACTGTTCCAAGAGTAAGGACCTAGTTCTCTACTGGGACCTGTGCTTTTTTTTTTTTTTTTACAGGAATTTTTCCTGCAAAAATCATCATTCAACAACTGGGTTGGATGACAGGCTGGATAATCTAGATCCAGTTGTCACCCCAGTCTAGCCAAGGAGCGTATGCAGACCTTTAGCTACATGCTGGGTTGGCTGCAACAACCCCATTCTGGACCAGGGCAGCCAGCGACTTAAATGTCTCATGGGGACACATATGACCTGTGTCACAGTGTTACCCTGGCTGACAGTACCCCCCCATGCTTCGGTGGACAGAAGAATCTGTCATGGGAGCCTTACCCGCATGCTCCTCTCCATCGGTAAGTAGATGCTCTCTCCCTTCCCACCCCGGAAAACGATGTGGGGTGCAGGTACTCCCTGGGGTGGTAGGTCCTTCGGGGTTCCCTCCTCCCCCAGCCTCTGGTATTTCCTCCTGTCCCCCCCCCCCTGCCTGATCACCCTCTCCTCCTCCTACCTCCAAGTCTGTGATGCTAAGTCCCTAACCCTTTCCAAAAAGCGCACCAGGTGAAAACGCAGAGATGTGAACTTGTCCCATAGGAAGTTATGTTAAATGGACTGTAGTGCGTTTTTGCAAAATGATGCGGAAACCACTTAGGTGTGAACCTAGGGTAATACCAGGTAGGACTACTCATAGGCAATGCTGTGTTTTTTTTCAGCCTAGTGTCCTACTACTGTAGGTGTAAAAACCCTATGGTCAAGAATCAGAAGAGCAGCATCCTTCAATGAACTCAGAGAAAGGGATTTTATGGTGAGCAACAAGAATCCGTTTTTGTTGTGTGCAGCTGACTAGAAGAATTGAAGAACTGATGCTGTTTTGAAGGTAAAGGGTGGTGACACCAAATGTTGATTTGATTTAGATCTCTCTTCTATTCATTTACTTTCCATTTTGTTAATTGATAAAAAAAAATAAACTTTTAACTTTTCTATTTTTGAAAGCATTCTTAATTTACAGCATTTTTTCACACCTGCCTAAAACAGTAATATATATCTATTTATTCTGATTGATGTTGTCTTTTAAAAACTAGACGCTGCTAGATTGCAGAATTCTTTGACACATGTTCCACTTCTCTTGCAGAAGGTAAACTATGCTCAGAGCATTTCAGTGATGTGGATCACAAAATGTGCCCTTGTGTTACAAAAGCAGAGCATTGCCTTAATCAGATGCAGCCTCTCAGAATATGTCCCAGTCTGTCGTCCTGCTGATCCGAATGAAGTGGAGCGTCTCCAAGACTTTGTGCTCTGCTCTCAGAGACTGTTTGTCATGACGGGTGCTGGAATCTCCACAGAATCAGGAATCCCTGATTACCGCTCAGAGGGTGTGGGATTGTATGCCAGGACTGAACGTAGACCCATTCAGCATGCAGAGTTTGTCAGAAGTCAGGATGCTCGCAGGCGATACTGGGCCCGAAACTTTAGAGGGTGGCCACAGTTTTCATCTCATAAGCCCAATGCGACTCATATGGCTCTATATAACTGGGAGAACAATGGGAAACTGCATTGGCTAGTGACACAAAATGTTGATGCCTTACATGCTAAAGCTGGACAGCGCCGCCTAACTGAGTTGCATGGTTGCACCCACAGGTAATGGGGATAAAGTTTTATAGCCATACAATAACATAATATTTTTTTGTTGTAACTATTTACCAGTTTTTATGTGTTAATTGATCCTGGTACTCCCATAGGCCACATATATATATTTTATGTGTGTTCTCTCTCTCTCTCTCTCCCCTTTAAAGTAAAAGTGATCTGAGCAGCTATACAGCAGCTTAATCATTGTACAGGCGGCAGAAGTGGGTTTTCCTGGTCGGTTTATTTGCAACCCCTGGGTAGAGTGGAAGGAACAGAAGTTCCCATCCCTATTCTGTGATGGCAGAAACCAGAAGCAACAAGGATTTTGTCTCTCTTTGTTTCTGTTTGTCTATTTACAAGTTGATACCGGCTTGTACATCATCTGATCAAATCGATTTTGGTTTGATCAGATGCTTTGGAGGCCAGAGGACCCCAGTTCTCTCCATAAAGGGGACCTGCCACGACCCATGCTATCACAAGGGATGTTGTTTAATTAAAATAAAATAAATAATAATTAAAAAATGTTAATTGCTATTGTCCCCTGTGTTCATGGGAGGATGCAAACACACACATGGGTCCTGTATGCATATGTAAACAACATTCACACCACATGTGAGGCATCATTGTGAGAGCAATAATTTCAGCACCAGACCTGTGTAACTCTAAACTGGTAACCTGTAAAGGTCTTTAAAGCATCGCCTGTGGAGATTTATAGGTACCAAAGTTTATCACTGTTCCACGGGCATGCACAATTTTAAAGCATGACATGTTTGGTATCAATTTACTCGGTGTAACATCATCTTTTATATTTTACCAAAAAATTAGGTATTGTGCTGATGTCCAATAAAATTTATTAAAGTGTATTTGTTCCAAAAATCTGCTGTGCAGATATGTGAAATCAAAAATTGCAATACTCCCCATTTTATTCTCTAGGGCCTATGCTTTAAAAATATGTTTGGGGGTCTAAGCAATTTTCTAGCAGAAAAATGCTCATTAAAATGCTGGTCAAGTGGTTAACCCCTTCCCACCACCCCTTAAGTGGATCTAAATGCCAGGGAGACAGAGGTGGGCATGCCGATCATGTGACCACTGTGATTGGCAGTCACAGCGGTCACATAATCGGAAAGATCCCAATCACAAGTATGCATTGTTTACATGCACATGCTCACTCTGTGCTGCTCTCTTTAAAGTAGAAGTACAGCCAAATGTCTTTTGGCTGTACTTTTCCTGTGGATCACAGGAGTGCAGTATGTTCTGCACCCCTTTTCAGCTGACGTCACTCAGCCGGTTCAGGCTGGGGAAAGATCCCAACTTCAAAGTCGGGATCCACCCCAGAGTATGGAGGGGCACCTGGCTCAACCTCTGAGTGATGAGCTGAGAGTCTGAGCCAGCTGCTCATGTGGTTTTTACTGTAGATTCTCTGCTTATGCATTTTTTTCATTGAATTGTGCAGGTTTTTGACAGGTATGCATTAAAGAACATGTTACCCCAGCATTTCATATTCCTAATATGTGCCCACTGTACCATGTACTTGTATGAAAAAGCATTCTGCTCTCTTTGTATTGCTTGATTTGTGTGAAAAGCCTTGTGTTCCTGCCAGTCCATCTGCTTTCCTGTTAAAACAGACCATGCTAGGCATGAAAGCATAGCATGGTCAGTTCCCAAGCTATCCAGGGAACTCAGCCCCCCCCCCAGTACAGTAATTTACTGTAGCTTCAGTGTACTGCTTTTTCTCCTGAGCTCCTTATGCAGCTGAGAACAGAGGGAATGTGATCACTTATTAAAAAGGGGAAAAAAGGTATTTATAATTTTTTTTATATCTATACACAAATGTTTAAGCATCCAGGTTCACAGAAGGGGCACATTTGCGAAAATATGTATTAAAGAAAATACTTCTATACCCCTGTCTATGGAAATTGATCCTCATTGTGTTTTGCTTCCTTTTTAGAGTGATTTGTCTAGGCTGTCAGACAGTGAGCAGTAGAGTTGAACTTCAAGAACGTTTCATAGCTCTCAATCCATCCTGGAACGAACAGGCTTATGGGGTTGCACCAGATGGCGATGTATTCCTGACTGATGAGCAAGTGTCCAGTTTTCGTGTCCCACCCTGTGACAACTGTGGGGGTATTCTGAAACCACAGGTGACATTCTTTGGTGATACAGTAAACAGAGAATTGGTGTTCTCTCTTTATGAGAATTTAAGTCATGCGGATGCCATGCTGATAGTGGGCTCCTCGCTGCAGGTAAAGCACATTCCTCAATCCCAGTTTAATACAAAAAATGTTCAGATGTATTTTAACTTTGCAAGTAAAATATACAGATATCTAGTCTCTGTAGATATATGTAAATAGACTGTAAGTTATATAAAGGGAACAAAAAGCAGACAGCTACTATTCCAGCCCTTTACTATTTTGATCAACTGTCCTGCAACACCATAAGTATAGCTTTGTTAACAGTTGTGTAACTGGGCAATTTAAATTGATATTGAACCCAAAACCAAAAATGTAATATATTGCAACACACCTCCTGTATTAACCGGTTCCCCACCACCCTATAGCAGAACTACTGCTACAGGGCAGGCAGGACTATGCAAAACCACTTATACATATGTCATTTTGCATTTCCGGGTAGGGGGTGCGCCGTCAGTGGCGTCTACAGCTGTCGGTCCCCGCTGGAGATTACCCGACGATCACTGAGGAACAGTGAAAGGGGAGAGTTCTGTATGTAAACAACACAGATCTGTCCCCTGTCAGCACCGACATACAGTAATACAAAGCAGCATGTTTCCCTAGTAAAACACACACAGCACGCAGTTAACCCTTTGATCGCCCCAGATGTTAACCCCTTCCTGCCCAGTGTCATTAGTACAGTGTCAGTGCTTTTTATTAGCACTGATCACTGTATTAGTATCATTGGGATGTCAGTGGCAGTTTGTCAGTTCCCCTCCCAGTGTCAGAATGCCCACCGCAGTCCCGCTATAAGTCGCCGGCCGATCGCGCCATTACTAGTATAAAAAAAAGAAACAAAAATCCAGTATACATACTGTCATTTGTAGACGCTATACCATTCATGTAAACCAATTAATTTACATGTTTTTGGGATTTTTTTTTTAGCTAAGACATGTAGTAGAATACATTTCGGCTTAAATTTATGACAACATTTTTTTTTTACTGGATATGTTTTATAGCAAAAAGTAAAAAAAATATTTTTTCAAAATTGTCGGTCTTTTTTTTTTTTTTATAGCGCAAAAAATTAAACGCAGAGGCAATCAAATACCACGAAAAGAAAGCTCCATTTGTGGGGAAAAAAGGACATAAGTTTCATTTGGGTGCAGCATTGCATGACCGCGCAATTGTCAGTTAAAGTAATGCAGTGCCGTATCGCAAAAAAATGGCCTGGTCAGGAAGGGGGGTAAATCCTCTGGAGGGCAAGTGGTTAAAGTGCCCCCACTCTGGATGAAGGAGCACAAGGGGCACATTTGGACAGCAGCATTGTCAGTCTGGGGATGGGGGGGTGTTAGATATAGTAGCAGATTTAGGCTCCATGCACACTATAATTTTTTAAGAAATTGTTAGTGCCGTATGCATGCATCGCTAGGTTAGAATTCCTGACTTCATGCCAGAACTTTGTTGTGTGTGAGGTTTAATTGCAATGGCCCAGAGTGCAGCCACCTTATGTTTAAGACATGTAAAACAATGAATGTTAATGGATAACTAAAATCATGGGCTGAGAATGTGTGTGCTATTAACTGAGAAAAGCAGCTGACATTTTCAGGCCAATTAAAATTTTTCTCTAGCCATGTATGGATAAAAAAAGGTTTATTATAGTTAAAATGTATCTAAATCCCAAAACAAAAATGTATTATATTGCAACTTACCAGTGTTTAGATGTGATTGCTGCATTAGTTTTCTATTAGTTTTAAGGCTTTTGTTTTTCTTTTTTTTTTGCCTGGTGATCTGACTAGTAAGTTTGTCACTTTTCAACTTTAATGGTCCTTTCACACGGACGTTCCATTTGTGCATTTACAGACAGTAATCTATTCCTATTGACTGCGAGTGTATTTGAAAGCTCATCTGTTTATATCCACTTATATCACATGTCCATTCAGCTCCATTTTTTTTAAATCGAACATGGCTGTGGTCTTTTCCATTTAGACAAATCTTAAAGTTATTGTAAAGGCTTGTGTTTTTTTTTCCCTAAAATAATAAACGTGTTCTACTGCCCCCCCCCATAGCAAGCCGCATTCAGAAGGGAGGGTGAGCTGACAGTACTGGCGAAGGACCCCAGAAGAGGAGGAAACGGAACACTCCGTGCAATACCATTGCACAAAGCGGACCCTTTCCTCTTCTGGGGTCCCCCGCCGGCACTGTCAGCTTCTCATCCCTTCTGAATGCGGCTTTCTATGGGGGGCACTCGTGCAGCCTAAATTCCAAGCTGGCCTGTGTGCATCTACAGACAAACACAGCACAGCCTGGCCCTGCCCCCTCTTTGTGGGATTTGAGCACAGCACTGGATCAAGATAGAACCCAGGTAGGTATTCAGGGGGGAGATGATCATGGAATGTTTTTTACCTTAATACAGAGAATGCATTCTGCCTTTGCAACCACTGTGATTGATGTGAACAGAAAAAAATGAATGTCATCTGCTTTCGAGCGTTTTTAGACAAGAAAAAGATTTTTTGTTTATACTTTTGTCATGAATAGTTTCTTCAACAGCTAACAAAAAATGGAACTGAACTGACTGAACTGAACTTCTAGACTGATATCATCAGTTATCAAAAGCTTGACTGAACTAATGACTCCTGTGTGAAAGAATGCTAACAGAGCAAGCTGTCCAAAAAAATAGCAGTTAGAGGGTTGAAACAAACCATTTACACTGACAGGGGTGCTTACAATGGTCATCTTTAATTGATTTATGTAAAACATTTGTTGCAAAAGAAAAAATAACTTTTTTATAACTGTCTAAAAACTGTTATCTGGAGTTAGACTCTTATTTGTTGGTCACTCCTAAAACCCATCTAAATTCTCTAGTCCATCTAGTGCAGGACTGCTGCTGTCCAAGGATGACTACATTGCTACTTCATAGATAGAGTGGAGGAGTGAGGGGAGCCACCCCAAGACAGGAAATGTGTTACTGTCAGGATCACAATCAAGCAAAAAAGAAAACTAATGCAGCCACCACATCCAGGATGGCAACATAAAACATTTTTGTTTTGGGGTTTAGAGACATTTTAGAATTAAAAATAGAAAAAAGACATGACTGAATGAAATATCAGTCAAATAGAAAAATAAGATATGAGTTTAAAATGAGTACTTTCTGAAATTTCTAAATGTTAAAACTTACCACTTTTACCTCTCCTCCTTGAAATGGGAGAGTAAAACATTAGCTAGTGTGTCTGACACCTTGACGGATTATGAGCTCTTTCACATGGGCAACAGTTTATAGTGTCCTCTGAAAAGCAATCCATGGTGGTCACTTTTAAGAAGGCAGCAGAGCAGGGCTTCTAGGCTTTAGGAGGTGATCCTGCCACCTTCTGATTGTGTAGTTTTATTTATTTGTTGGTGCTTTTTTTTCTCCAGCCAAACAGAGATTTTTTTTTTACAAACATCATGCCTCAACTTTGAGCCTAGCTCTTGGCCTGCAATTGCTCTGTGACCTCATTGAGTTCAATGGGTGAGTTTGGCAGATGGTGTCGCCTGCCAAACTTAGTAATCCGAGGTAAATTTTCCTTTTTTTTACCACCATCTGACTGCCCATGTGAACGGAGCCTATGGGGTTGATTTACTAAAGGCATATATACTGTTCACTGTATGTGCAGTTGCTCCAGAGCTTGGTAAATGAGGTAAAGCTTCACTTTGCAAAGAATACCCAATCACATACAAGGAAAATAAAAAACAGCATTTTGCTTGCACATGATTCAATGATAGAACTCAGCAGAGCTTCCCTTCATTTCAAAGTTTCCCCTCAGATCTAGAGCAATTGCACCTGAGGCTCGGTTCACACTGCCGTGATATGGGATCCGACTTGTGAGACCCCAAGTCACGTGACATGTGAAATCTCATGTTAATCAATGGGAGCTGTCTTAATTAGTACTACTAAAGTTGCACCGACTTTAGAAAAAGTTCCTGTACTACTTCTATCCGACTTGTGCCCATAGACTTTAATGGAAGATGCCTCCAAGTCAGATCTTCATCTATATTGATGTGATTTGGATCCGACACACTTTCTTTTTTTTTTTTGACCTTTTGGAAAGTATCAGTTTTTTTGTTATATTTTATTTTTTTTTAATTCCTAATTAAATCCTAATTTTCAGAACAAATGGAATTCAGATTGGTCAAAAATTGATCGGCTGATCCATATTTTGTGTAAAGAATAGCTGGTTGCTAAGGAGAGGGCGAGGAAGCCGGCCGCTGTGTCCTGAACAACCGATGACTCGTTAGCTGTCAATGATTTCCCTGCTGACAGCTTAATGTAAATAAATTAAAATTAAAACAAAAGAAATGCATGGGGGTCCACCCTATCTATACAAGGCCCTTCAGGTCTGGTATGAATTTTAAGGGGAACCCCATGCCAAATTTAAAAATAAAACGGCGTGGGTCCCCCCAAAATTCATACCAGACTTTTATCCAAGCATGCAGCCCAGCAGGTCAGGAAAGGGGGGGGGACAAGCGAGTGCCCCTCCCTCCATACCATACCAGGCCACAATGCCCTCAACATGAGAGGGTTTTGGGGTAGGGGGGCTCCCCCCCCCCAAAGCAACTTGTCCCTATGTTGATGGGGACAAGAACCTCTTCCCCACAACCCTGGGCTGTGTTTGTGGGGGTGACTTAACGGGGGGGGCCCCAAATCCTGCCCCCCCATATGAATGAGTGTGGGATACATAGTACCCCTAGTCATTCACAAAAAAGTGTAAAAAAGTAAATAAAAACACAGCAACAGTTTTTTGAAAAGTCCTTTATTAAAAGAAAAAAAAAATTGTCCCCTGAAACAGATCCAATGTCAATCACGATAAGCGCCGCCACTGCCGCGGACTCGGAAAAAACAAACAAACCAAGAGCTCCGTTTCCGACTGTGGCTCCTGTATCTGAGATTTTTGCCATCTGATAGTTCTTAAATAGCTAAGGGGTGGGGCCATCCGATGACATCACGGGGTGACCTTGCCCCTTGTGACGTCATTGGCCCATTTAGTTAAGAATTCAATAAATGAAACAAAATTTAACAAAAAAAACCTGATATTTCCAATTGTTAAAAAAAAAAAAAAAAAATAGCGAAGTCTTATGGCAAAGTATCAAGTGGTACTCAAGTCACATCAGGTCTCCAGCAAACTGGAGTTCCCTGGCAAAGTCGCACTCTAAGTCAGGTCGCAGTAGTGTGAATCGAGCCTGAAGTGTACTCGCAGCACACAAAACTATTTTCCTTTAGTAAATCAACCCTTTTGTGTCTATGTTCTGCAAAACAGAGCTTAATAGTGATAGCATTGCATCAAGGGAACAGAGGTTTTGCCATGGTTCACACATAGTGATGGAGAATTGATAGAAATACAGGTTCTGTTTTTAGTTCTTGTTCTATTTTTCTTTTGTTTAGGTATATTCTGGGTATAGGTTTGCACTTAAAGCTCAGGAAAAGGGAATTCCTATTGCAATACTTAACATTGGACCCACCAGAGCTGATCATCTTGCAGTTGTTAAAGTCAACGCTCGCTGTGGGGATGTCATACCAAAGATAATGTCAGCGACTGAACATCTGCAGGAAAATGTGAGCTAAATGACTACTGGGAGAGACACAGCGGGCATCTGTGTGTACATTGAATATACTGTCTCATGGTGGAAGAACCTGCTCCTGGATGCACATGGAGCCAAGATTAGTTTATTATTTTTATTTGCTACACTACACAAGACTTCTATATGGTGCTCACTGGGTTCACTTTTATAAATAGAAATAAAGATTTTTTTTTCCTGTATGAGTTGGCTTTTAATAGCTAAGTAAAGCATCATATCTCTTTAGTAAATAATATAATGAACGCTTGAACATTTCATTGTTAAAATAATTCTGAGCATTTTATACTAAGCATATGGTGGAAAAAAGCACTAAGAAATGGTTTCAGACAAAGCACTGGAGAGTACTGAACAGGCCAGCAATGAGTCCAGATCTCAATCCCACAGAGCACCCGTGAAGAGATATCAAAACAGCAATTGGGAAAAGGAATCCATCCAATATGAGAGATCTGGAGAAGTTGGCAAAAGAAGAATTGGCCAAAATTCCAGTAGAAAGGTTTAAGAAACTCATTGATGGTTACAGGAAGCAGTTTATTTTAGTTATTTTTTTTCCAAGGGGTGAGTTACCAAATATTAAATTGAGGGTGCCAATAATTTTGTCCAGTCTATTTTTTGGAGTTTTGCATGGAATGTGTCAGATTTGGCTTTTTGTTTCTCTACTTTTTTTGTGTCATACCAATACAAACAAAAGAAATAAACATGAGAATGCCTAAACATTTATAACTGCAACAATTTCCTGGGCAAAGTGGTGCATTATCTGACAGAAATGCAGGGGTGCCAATATTTTTAGCCATGACTGTATACAGTAAATGTCACCCTTTTTTTTTTTTGCAAAAGTCTTCTAGTGTCTCCTGAGCTTCCCCATTGGTAAGTAAGCCTATAACATCACAGGACAAACAGAAAAGCTAGGAAGGCGATGGAGCCAAGTTGAACTTTTACAGAAAAAGTCTAGATTTAGTCGTAGCTGCAGCAGTATCTACTAAGAATGTTAGTATGTATTTCTTGCTGAAGGCTACCTTTGCTTATGTATGTGTTTTCATTTTATGATCCGTTTTGAATTGTTCACGTTTGTGGAAGGGTCACTTTGAAGATTACCAGTCACCAATGTGTATTGTAATAATCTGAATCTCCACTCTTGAATTATTATATAATTATCTATAGCTGTCAGGAATTCCATGTATTATGAATTCTGTGATCTCGCATTCTTCGTTATGTAAGAAAATCCTATCTTTTACCTTAACCCGGAAACACACAAAATAAAATGAAAGGCTTTGTTAAATGACCACTTCATCTTTCTTCAGAAACCAGACATTGGATAGGTCATCCTGCATTTGGGCCTTCATCATGGCTCATTTACACTGCCATTCCTATGAACACCTGACAGAAACTGTTGCAAAAATACACTGATCAGGGCATTATATAACCAGGAACAGCCATGTGATTGAGCCCTTAAAATTGGAGATTTAGAATGCCTGTCCCTGACTGCTTCACTTTAAAACTGAACTCCAAACAGTTAACACAGTGGCTAAATGGTTAGCACTTCCGCCTGGCAGTACTAGGGTCATTGGTTTGAATCCCAGCCATGGCACCACCTACCTGGAGTTTGCATGTTCTCCCTGTGCCTGCGTGGGTTTCCTGTGGGTACTCCGGTTTCCTCCCACCCTCCAAAGGACATGCTGGTAGGTGAATTGAATCCTGTCTAAATTGGCCCTAGTATGTGTATGTATGAATGTGAGTTAGGGACCTTAGATTATACGCCCTTTGAGGGTAAGGGACTGATGTGAATGTACAATATATATATGTAAAGCGCTGCGCAAATTGATAGCGCTATATAAGTACCTGAAATAAATAAATAATAATTAAATATGTATATACTGTATATGAAAAATATACAAGGGAACTCTTTTACCTGTCAATTTGTATTTTTGCCCATCCAGTCCTGACGTTTAGCAACAGAGGGTGCTGATCTGGGTGTAGTAGTTAGATATACAGTTTTATTACAAAGCACAATTGGCAACTCACACATAGGAGACAGATCATGCACATGTGACTATGCTGATCACTGGAGAACCATTGCGTTCTGAGGATGTGTGTGTCTGGGTTGTCTCTGCTCAACCATTGTGAAGCCTGTGCAGTTGCCCCTAGTTACTCTAAGTATGGAGCACATCTGTTGCAATAACCCAAATGCAGCTATGGAAGATATATTGATGACGTCATTATTTGGGATGGCCCGCCTTCCATGGTTGCGAATTTGTCACATTCTGCAATATTAATTCCTTTGGTCTTTCTTTTTCTTTCACTCATGTTTATAACTCCTCTTCTCTGGCCTTCCTGGACCTTGAACTTAGTCGTTCAGACAGCACAATTGTGGCAAAATATTTATCTGCATTATTCAAGTTGTCATCACCCTAGATGGATGCACAACATCCCAAAGAACCAATTTGTTAGGCTTAAACATGACTGTACTAAAAGCGAGGATTAGGGGAACCAGAAGCATAGGGTTCCCACAGAGAGAGAACAGTCCACCTCTAGATTTGTCACATAGTACCATGTGCAAGATAAGAAAATGGAAAAAGTTGTGGTGAAACATTGGTCTATTCTTATGCAGGACTCCTATCTGAAAACTTGTATTGGTGAGAGGCCGAGATTTTCTTATAGGAAGATACCAAGTATCAAAAATTAAATTGCTCTTAGCAAATTATTCCATTTTAAAATATCTTCTGCCAGACCAGATAGTATGTTCAGTGATCTTACAGGTATGTTCCAGTGTAAAAAAAAAAAAATGCCTCTTGTGCAAGCATGTTTCACATGGACAAAAAACATTTGGTAAGACGTGATGTATGGTCATTTCAGAATTGTTCTTCTCAATATGTTTGTCTTACCTGTTCATGTGGCTTGCTGTATGTGGGGAGAACAATCAGGATTTTGCTTGCCCATTTTGAGGAAGTTCATAGGCACTAAGTATAGTTTCCCCAGACATTTTGCTACAGTACACAAACAAAATCATCTATAGGGTTAAAAGTGTAGTCTACCCCGATCACTTTTCTCTCCCAGAAAGCTTTAAAGAGCTATAATAATCTATTGTGAAACATTTCCTCTGTGAAGGAGCTTCCTGTATTAAGACCAGTTTTCTCTCCTTGTGCTGGATGTCTGGTCTTGTATTTGCCCTCTCCTGTAGGTTTTGGCAGGCAGTCTGTGGTGGGCTGGGCCTACTAGATCCCATCCACTGTTCTGCTCTCTGCACAGACAATGTACAGCACAGTGATGATGTCACTGTTACTTTTACAAGGTAATATCTGCGTTTGCATTTGCAAAGAAAATGTATTTATATCCTTTGTAGTTATTGAGGAATATATTTAAAGGTTGTGCATGGTTGTTGTTCATGGAGTTCAACTGTAATATTTTAAATATATATATTTGCAGCTACCTCAGTTGATATCTACACCCTTGCTGTGTATAATTGTAAAATTTGCATTCATGTGCAGTTGTAAGATTGTATTTATTAATAAAATGTGCTTTAAGAAAAATTGGAGCATGTGAGTCTTGGTGAAGGTCAATGATGAAAGTGAATAGATAGTCTGCTGGAACAGACATTAAAGCAGAACTATACAACATCTGAGCACCACAAACCAAAAACATTATTTAATTATTTTGTTATGTTCAAAACAATTCCCCCCCCCCCATCCATCCATGTCTCCCTGCTTAATTTTGCTAAGAAATCACTTTGAAAACCACCCCTAGCATTTTGACTGTGGCCATCTTGAATAAGGGCAGTGGTATTTACTTCCTGAAATTCATCTTCCCTTAGCTTAATGTGTTACTAAACCCAGGACCCTGCATTCACTATATCTGGTCTGCCACAGTACACAGAACATGGAAATGCAATTATTTCAGCAAATATAAACTGCTAAGTACGTTTTTTCATCAGCAGTATATAGCAGTCTTGTGACTTCTATCAGTGTCCAACTGAACACTGGTTACTTTTTTATAGGAGTTTTCATTCTCCTCTAACTGTCCTTGGAGGCTGCATAACCCCTGACCCTTTTGTCTGGACAGTGCTGAGTGGCCCTGTGCTGATCACATGCACCCTCCCAATGGAAAAAAAACTTTAGCAATACACACTAAACTGAGCATGTGTAGAGCGACTCTTAGAGCACTGTACGATCAGCAGATGTATTGGGGACAATAGAAGAAGGGGAGGATCAGACAGTCTTATTACACAATGTGGGGGATTAACCCTTTAGGTTCCACAGTGACTATAGCAATCATACTTTACTGTATATACAGATTTTACTGTGCGGGTTGAGTAACACTTTAAGGATATTTTACCAAACTAACACAATTTTGTGACAGTAATTTTCAAAATTGTATCGTTTATGGACATTTACAAAAAAAGAAGGAACACTAGCAAATTTCTATTCTGTCACTTAATAATATAACCTTTTCTCATCAAATTGTAAAATTTACCATTGCTGGTGTGAATGAGACTCCTGTATGCAATGATAGACTGTAAGAAAGCTGCTTATTGCAATAAAAGAAATCCTAAGAATGAAATTGGAGGAACATAAGGCTGACAAGCATATTGGGTAAGCTGTTTAGTTATTGCACCGGTCTGTGTTTGGAAAGTACAAACCACTTTAAGCCTACACTCACCGGCCAGTTTATTAGGTTCACCTTGCTAGTGCCAAGAAAATATCTCCCACACCATTACGCCACCAGCCTGAACCGTTGATACAAGGCAGGATGGATCCATGCTTGCATATTGTTTGCTCCAAATTCTTACCCTACCATCTGAATATTACAGCAACTAGTCTGCCCATGCTCTTCTGACCTTTGACATCAACAAGGCATTTTCGTCTACACAACTGCCACTGGATATTTTCTCTTTTTCGGACCATTCTCTGTAAACCCTAGAGATGGTTGTGCGAGAAAATCCCAGTAGATCAGCCATTTTTGGAAATCCGCAGACCAGCCCATCTGGCACCAACA